CTTACTCATCCTTCCTAGGAAGAACCAATTGTTTGCTGATCTTGATATAAGACTCGTTATTAGCACCTATCACTGTATTATATTTTATTTGTACATTTATTTCTTTTTGGGCAGCCTCTGAGCTCTAGAAGGCATAGAAAGTATATTCTTCTTCTTAAAACAGTATTTTAAGGGTCATTATTATAAATTAATTGGAAATTTAATAGGCATGTATTAAGAACCCTTTTATGTTCCAGACATCAGCAATTGGGATATAGAAGGTATTCTGTGAATCTTACTGATTCATATCTAATTGATGCTTACAGTAGTTACCTTCAGAAATTTTTCAGTTTTGATGATCTGCCCCCATCAGATAATTGAGTACTTCAGAAAGTTAGTACTCAATAACAAACATTTAAGTGGTGATTATTTGTTTATTATCTTACATATTTAGTGACTATTTTATTGGACTTCCACTAGCTTGTTAGTAAAGCATTAGAATTCTCTTTGTTTAGCAGGGAGAATCCAGACTAAATTTGATTTAGAGTTCTCCTCTTTTTCAAGCATCAGTAAGCTTATAGATTTTAATAATAATTGTTTCCAACTTAGAAAGAATAGCTATGGGCTTTTAAAATTTATGAAAAAGGTTTTGAATGTATTGGTAAATGGTAGGAAGGAGGAGGGAAGTTAGGGGAAGGTCAAGTTCCCAGAAACATTTAATCTACTAAAAGATCACTTGGCTGTACGTGATTTGCAGATTGCATCATAACCTCTCAAGAGGCAGTGTGACTGAATGGGTGGCCTATGTAGAGAACATATGTTTTAATAGTTGTCATGTAACTTTGGACAAGCCATTTAGGTCACTTAAATATCCCAGGATCTTCTTAAAAAAAAAAAACTGGGTCATTAGGGAAACTGACCATTTCTCTTTTTAAGATTATATTTATTTGAGAGAGAGTGAGAGAGCAAGAGAGCATGAGCTGGGAGGAGGGACAGAGAAAGAGAGGGAGAAGCAGGGAGGCCAACATGGGGCTGGATCCTGGGACTCCGGTATCATGACCCAAGCCAAAGGCAGACACTTAACTGACTGAGCCACCCAGGTACCCCAAAGCTGGCCATTCTTTAGGTAAAGTTTAGATATTAGAAGAGCCATAAAAGGCTGGCTGCTTTTTAAAAGGGAGTGCACAACAGGATTGAAGAAAAGTTGGTAAGGGTCATGTGGGGATGTGAATCTTTTCTTATTCCTGGAGGAGGAGGAATAGATTGAGTTCCAAAAGTAGTAACTTAGAAATGGCTTCATTAATTATATTTTTCCAAGAAGAAGACATATACATTTAACTGACACTTTTAAAATATAAAGAATAAGAGTAATATGAGGTTTTTAGAAGTATAATAATTATACTCGTAAGTATACTCGTAAGTAATACAAGCTATTTCAGTTCTACATCATGTCCAGTGAAGTCAGAAAGAGACAACAAAATGTAGAAGATCTAGATTGGGGTCAAGGAAGAGAAAATAAAATGTGGAAGGAACGATGAAGGACTGGTTTAGGTGTGCTGCCTTCAAGTTCCGTTTCCCTCTCTTGTTCTCCACTGCATCCAGATCGTTCTAGACTCAAGACCCAGTGTGCTGGGCAACTCACAACCCCCATTCTTACCAGCCTTGTTCTTCAAGGACTTCAGTCTTCTGGAGGTAATCTTCATCAAGTGGCTTGTACCTACTGCCTTTTGAGCATGAGAGCTCCTGAGGCCTTGCAACTCTCCCTTGAGAGGAGAGGGTGGCTATAGCTTTAACATAGGAATTCTCAGCAGGCACACACTCCTTCATGTTCAGGCCATTTACCACAGACCATTTTACATGCTTGCCCTGGGACCGGTGGGCAGAATTTAGTCATATCCCTTTTCTTCCTTTTTTCCTGAGAATTAGTCCATTAAATATATTAATCCTTTGACTGTGACCTCTGTGACTGATATATTTCACTTACGGATTGTATGGGATGTGTCTGACCAGTACATGATGGTTTACATAATGAAAGCTTTGCGATGATTCTATGAGATAGATAGTATTACAGTTGTAAAAATATAGACCACAAGGCTCTAAGAGTTAAGTAATTTTGCACAAAATCACACTACTAGTGAGGAACAGAGCTAGAATTCACAATAACATATTAAATACACACAGACACACACAGGACTTGAGCAAGTGATGGAAGTGGTTGAAGAAAAGGGTGTAGACTAATGTGACCTGGGTGGTGAATTGGAAGGGTTTTAAATGTGGTCTGAATAATTCCCTCTCTGAAGTTAACCACAATAACAGTCCATTTTGGTTTCTCTGCCAAGTGTGACTCCCCGGTTACTTCCTTTTCCAGCAGTTGGAATTAAGTGACTGGTATAAGATGCCATAAGAGTTAAGAGTAGATTATAGCGTTAGAATTTATAGTCTGAAAAGTAAATGTTAACTTGCTTACTCTCTAAGGGGGCCCTATTCTATGTTTTGGGATCTAGTTTATACTATTTTACTTCATGAAAAGGCACAGACTTTGGAATATGAGCGGAAAATCTGCCTTTGTGTGCCAGTAAATGCCAGATCATTTTAGAAAGTGGAATTCTTATTAAAAGCAAGTGTGTGACTCAAATTTGGTGTCTACTTCAGTTTTTCCTCAAATGCTTGTTTTTTGTTGTTGTTGTTTAGTAATTATATTGTTTTCAAATGAAGAAGTTGGTGTGCAGTTGTTGGAAATGGGGGAAGGGGTAATTTGCAGCAGAAAAGAATAGAGTTTCCCAAGTGGGATGTTGTGGTAATGGGGGTGCCAGTGTTCTAGCTGAATACTTTTAGGAATAGAAGAGACATTCACTTTTTTAATTGACCCAAGTTTTAGCAGCCAGATGTTGGGAGTTTTATGGTACCATTTTGAAATTGATTTAAGTAAACATGCTAAGGCTCATGGAGAGTCTACAACCACTGTCCCCTGAGGACAACCTCAACCTGCCTCATGTGTCATCAGGAAGGTGGCATTAGCGACCTTGAAGGATGCAAGGTCTAGGCCTCCGTAAATGTGAAGTAAATGTTAAAAGGAAAAAGAAAATATGAAGAGGCTCTCTGTTCAGTGGTATGTTAACAATAACAACGACAGTGACAATAATAATAAAAGTAAAATGTTAGGGTCACTTGAGAAATTAAACTGGAATGTAGTATCAGTATTGAAGGACATTTGTCAGAGGGACTCAAGGCAGAAATAACTGAAGCAGTAGCAAAATAATGTAATTTATCATTTTTATGTAACTATCATACTCCATGGAAAGTGGCCAATATTATACCATCTTTTTTAGGAATGTAGAAAGAGAAAGATTGACCTTCTAAGTTATAAGTCACTGAGTCTTGCCTCAATTTCAGAAACAATGAGAGAATTCATGAGAGACAAGCATTTTAGAGGATATCCAACTCTGACCATCTGCAGGAGACACTAGCTTGAGTCGCCCTTATGAGTTTCTTTGCTTGCATTCTGGGAAATCAGAAATCAATTGGTGGATAATGTGGGAATCACCACATATATTCGTGTAGATTTCATGAAAACTATTCTAGAGAAAAAAAAAGACAAAGGAAATATGATGAAGAGGTGGAATTCTGATCTCAGCATTACATCTAGTTAGCAGGCATGAGGCAAAGTGCAAAAATAAATGGCCAAATTCTATACAGGAAGAGACTAACAGGATCCCCTTGCATTTCACATCAGAAGCAGCAATTGCAATATGCTAATCACTTACATGGATGAACAGAATCACCCTGCTAAAAAAACCAGCATAAGATTTTTCTGCTTAAATGAGACTGGATTCTTGTCTTGGCATAGGTACCATGGCAAGATTTCAGGGAAGAGATTTATCTATGGCCACCGATCAAATTTTGTTGAAATTCAGTATCAAGTTCAAAATTGCCTTTCCTAGGCAGGCAGAGAAGGCTGCTGAATCTGAGCCTTCCATTCCTCCGGCGTTTACCGAAAGCCTGGTGCATTTACAGCCTTGAACAGCACACTGTGCACTGAGGAAGACACAAAAGAAGTAGATAGAATCTCTGCCTCAGCTTAGGAGCATGCAATTTAGTTGGGGAGACAAAACTTAAATACTAGGACCAATAAAATAAGATGATAAAGCAACCTGCAAGTAAGTGTATAATGATATGGGGCAAATGACACAGATAAATGCAGAGGGGACATAGAGGAAAGAGGAATGAACAAAACACAAGAGTGTTAGGTTAGCTGGGAAAGGCATGTTGCCTAACTGTAGTATAGCCTCTACGTTGTTTCCTATAGAAAGCATCAATGAGAAATAACGTGGGATAGAAAATTTGATTATACTACATTGATCTTTTTCTCCTTATCTGCAGTCTGTCTATCACAGATGGAAATTAAATTGATCCAACAATTTGCTCTCCATAAAGCTATGTTAGTTTCTACCTAGTAATTTATGCTCTTCTTGGTGTTTGCAAATCGATTGCTATTATGGGATGAAGACAAATCTGGGCCTGGATCCAGTAGGTTGGGAGATTATGGGAGTGGATATGTGTGTATGCACATGAAATCCTGGAAAAATGGACTCTCGTTTCTGTGTATTTTACTCTTCGAATAAAAACATTTTCAGGTTCTTAAAAGCATGTTTAATTACACTCAGGTTGCATTTTTAGGGGATATATCTGCTTTATTTCATATTGGTACTAACAGGCCCAACCTTCAAACCACCTTTAGTGGCTTTGTAGCCAGACCTTTTGTTTCAAAAAAGCCTTGCTCCATTCTGAGAATATGGTAGATCTCTACTTTATTTTTTCATTTCGACATAGAAATATGTATGGACATTTATCTAGCTCGATAAATAAAGTGTTGCTGCTGAAAGGCTTGGGAAAGTATACTTTTTTTAAACACTCAGCTTCGTTGTTGCATCTTAAAATTTTTTTTAAAAAGTTCTTCTGAGGATTGTGAAATTCATTCAAAACAAATTAAAAAGAAAACATTTTCTGTGATTTCTTTATAGATTCTGGACAATCAGGAAGTCCAAGCCACAATGATCCTGCCAAGAATCCTCCAGGTAAATATGTGCTCCAGGACATTTGCAATCTAACATTGGTGGAGAACAAAGGTACCACTGTATAGGTAAACACCCCATGATTGGTCAGCTGCCTATTTTGTTCTGGCAGGCAGGTATGATCAGGACAAGATGTGATTCTCCATAGGCCCTTCACAGTGGCAAATACTTCTATATCGGCGTCATCAGTACTTACCTAACCACCACCGTTTTAATTTTTGGTGATGTTTCTTGAAAAATGAACATGCGTGTATTTTAGTTGTACATTGTTCAGGTGCTAAAAGTCACTGCTGCTTAAAAAGCCAAAAAAACTACTTCATCATTCTTTTAAAATGCACAAGAAAAAGTAAAAATTTCCATACTCTTATTATAGTTTATCAACTCGTATTACTTTATAAGGAGGGTTGGGCTAGAGGGTGGTTGTGTTTTCAGTGAGGGATTTTTTTCAAACAAGTTTTTATTCCATAAGGTTTTTATTAGATTCCAAGAATCAGGAAATAATGAAAGTAAGACTTTTCCTTTGGTATGATGTATGCCAAATACCCTCTTTATGTCCAGAAGTTGTTCCAGATCTGAAAATGCGCTTTTATAACTTGGCTGTCTTCATAGTTTCCTTGCTTCTAAATCTGAATATATAGAATTTGACATTAATTTAGGGGCATTTTGTGTTTTTTACTCATAGTATAAAACTTGTGCAAAGAAGAATTTCTACTATTTCATTATCAGAATAATTTTATTTGTATTTGCAACTTGGGGAAGAGAGTGCTCTAAGAATAAATCAATAAAACCAAAACAAAATGAACAAAAAAAATCCAAACTCCCCACATAAGTCCCCTACCTCCCCAAATAATTTCATCTAGTTGTTTTTGTTGAAAATAAACCAAACCACTTATGAAAAGTAATAATAAAAGTTTCCTCGGGTAGAATTAGTATTAGGTCCTTAATTATTTGACCTCCCTTGTCATAGAACTTTGCTACTGTGAGATTGTACTATCTAAAAAATCCCAAACTGTAAGAAAATAGACCAGTCTTATTTTGAAATGATATTACAAAGATACAGTAAGTAAATATGCAAGGAAAAGTGCAAAGTCAAGACAATATACTTTTTCTTTTTGAGTCTTGCCTATATTTTGTTCCTTATTTTTATCTTAGAAAAAATATATTTTTCCAACTACATATTCACTACTCTGTATTGTACAAAACCTTACTGTTTGGCAAAAGTAGCAGATACTTCAAAGATCAAAAGTTTTAATTAAATATAGATTGAAAAATGTATGCTAACTTGATTGGTCTTTTATCAAAATCATTCAAAATTACTACGGATTGATAACCATACAAAAATCAGAAAAAAATTAAATGTAATTTCCAGTTAAATTTATTATTTTATTTTTTGTGTTGGTGGGAGAGTAGAATAAAAAAGACAGACTATTTCAAATGTAATAAATTTGTGAGAAATTTTCTTAAGTTGAGAAAATTTCATTGGGGTATGCCTTTAGCTTTACTAAAATTTCTTCTTTTTACTTGAGTAATGTTTTCCCTGTATAGCATGATAACTCAGAGTGAATCATGTCCAAACATTTTTTAAAAGCTTCCTCACTCATTTTAGGAAGAAAGGGGTGGGGGAGGGTGGTTAATAGAAAAAGAATTGATAAGTAATGTAAGTCCGTCAGACTAAACAAAGGATATGTTCTTTGCATTTGAAATTAATAAAGCTGTTATCATTTAAAATGCATTTCTGAACGTGTACAGAAAGAATTTTACTCACTTAAAAATGTTCTCTACTTATGCTGAAAGAATAATTGTAAAATAGTTATATAAGGCTGGAATTTGATATTTTAATATTTGTCAAGAATCTTGGTTAAATTTTTCTTTTGCTATATTCAGTGTGGCATCTCTTAATTCATCTGTTTGCATATAATATGACAAACAGAAATAATCAAGGTAGGACAATTCTAATTTTTTCCTTTTTAAATTTTCCTTGGAAATCAAACCTTTTTGAGAACAATGTCTTAAAACTGGAATGTGTTAGATCATATGATTAGTTGAATACTGCATATATGTAAATGCTACATCAATTACCAGTTTTTCAGGTAGTATATAATAAAACATATATGATATCAAAATTAAATGGAACAAAATTAAAATTTTCTTTGATGATTTGGAAGCATTCCATCATTTTAACATATGTTGCTTATCATTGTATTATGGATTTAATCATGAGATTATTAAAGAATCCTATTTGATGAAAGTAAGAGTTCTGCAGTAACGAAATAAATCAAGCCACTAGGAATGTAGAATGACTTCTAATTTGAAATGTGAAAAATCAGAACTTATTAAGGTTTTTGTTTTGTAGTCAATTGTGATAAATTATATGCATTATTAAAAGCTCTTTTCACAGGGCACCTGAATGGTTCAGTCAGTTAAGCATCTGATTCTTGATTTTGGCTCAGGTCAATCTCACAGTCAGGAGATCAAGTCCCTCATTGGGCTTTGGGCTGAGTATGGAGCCTGCTTAGGATTCTCTCCTTCTGTCCCTTCCCTACTCATGTGCATATTTTCTTTCTCTCTCTCTCTCTCTCGTGAAGAAAAAAAAAAAGAGAGAAACTCTTTTCATAAATATAAGCATGTTTGGGATTTTAGAGCATAATTTATCTTTTGGAGACTTTTTTCATCTCTGTGTTCTGGCTTTGGCTGAAATGTGGAATCTCTGAAGTTTCAGATGCAGTATCTCAAAAAGACACAGTGCATTCATGAGAAAATTCAATCTACTACCATAAACAATGAAACAATCAAATTGCTTTGCTACTTGTATTGTTATAACAAAGGGAAGCTAAACTTTTGAAAAAGATCATGTTGAGTGCTAACATTTTGTAATAACCAGTAGTTTTCCATTGGGAGATGTGCAGCCCATGGACATAGTTACCATCTACTTCCCAACAGCTTAGGAAGAGATGGCAAAAATTCAATCTCTTTTGGAGGTGGAAGCTCTGTGAAATCTGTTCCCCACTGTTGACATGAAGGTGGAATCCCATTATGTCATTCTATAAGTACAGATGCATGGTCTGCTCACAGATTGAACACCCACTCTGGCTTGGCCTTTCTCCAGCATCAGACATGACTATCTGACATGGAGGCCGTATCCTTGCTGGTTCAGAAGAACTTTTGAAGGACCTTAAAGCTCCTCAGACTAGTATGATTATCTCCATGTAGGCCTTTAATTTTTGTGCTTCTTGACTGAGATTAGTATTTAGTGAGCAAACAGAGCAGAAGCAAACAAAAGCAGTACATTATTGGGAGGAACGATATGTGATATTTGTTATTTTTAAAGGCATTTTTGCAATTTTTTGTTATTTTAAAAAGCAATGAAAGTCTTTATTGCATTTTCTTATACTATTTGTGATTTAATAGTTTGTTTTAGTCTTTGTTACATGGTGGGGATGGGGTTCATTATCTTTTCAGGGCTAAGGTGTTTCAAAATTCTGATGGTGCCCAAGGATATGACATTGTTATTTTAGTAAAGAAGCACCAGACCACTTCATTTATTTTAATGATACACATTTCTTTTGTTTATGATGGAATCAGAAGTTATATGTTTATATCTAGTTACTTCTTTTTAAACATTAAATTATTCCTTTCTAAGCAATGGAAATATGAATCCTCTCTCAACTATAGCAAACAACTGTTTGGACAAAGGAGAGTAAACCACTAATTTAGGAATTAGACGACTCCTAATTTTTGCGATAATTAAAAACTCCACTGTCACTTTTAGGAAATGTGTGATCGAATTGCAATTTTTTAAAATTAGCTTTGAATTGCCCTGTTGTTTTATATCTCTGCATTCCTTGAGCTATGGTCTTTTAGATATTCCAATCTCAATCACTTGCCTAATGCTGGAATGGTTAATATCCAAAGAAAACAAGGCAAACTAGAAGTTGGATTTTGCCTCTGGGTCATTTAGAAGCTGACACCTCATTTTGAAGTTTAGGAAGTCTGTAGTTATGTGGGGAGTTTTCTCTTGGCTGGAAATAAAACAAAGAAATGGAGAATCTTGGGACAGTTTTTGCAAATTCTATGATGAAAACTTATGAAGCATTCTCTGTAGCATTAATCAATGCTTTCTTAACTGGAAAGACACAGATTTATCCTACTTTTCTTTTTGGCACATTTTGGCCTGTGCTATTTTGTGTGTTGATTTTTTGCATGTAGTCTGGCAAAACCTCTGGAAACCATTAGGATTCTATATTGGGTGGATGTCAAATAAGCTACCTTATATCCTCTCTGGAACTAAATAAATAATTGAATAAATTAAACAAGGAGTATCTATTAACTCACAATATTCTCATCTTATATTTAAGAAATTATTATGCATATAAATATATAAGTATAATATAAATGGCTAGTACTATAAATCATATAAACATATAAATAAATATATATAATATATATTCCACCTAATAGAGATCATATCTTTCTCTGTCTGACTTCTTTCAGTTAGCATGATGTCCTCAAGATCCATCCATGTTTTTGCAAATGGCAAGATTTCCTGCCTTTTTTATGGTTGAATGATATCCCATATATATATTCAATTTACAGATACACACCACATATATATTCCATTTATACATATATACAACACATTTTCTTTATACATTCATCCCTTGATGGGGATTTAGGTTAGTTTCATATCTTGGCTATTGTAAATAATGCTGCAATGAACATGGGAATATATATATATCTTTTTGAATTAGTATTTTCATTTAAAAAAATAAAAACCCAGAAGTGGAATTGCTGGATCATGTTGAGTTATATTTTTAGTTTTTAGAGGAAAGTCCATACTCTTCCATACACCAATTTCCATTTCCACTAGCAGTGTAGGAGGGTTCCCTTCTCTTCTCCTCCCTTGTCAATACTTGTTATTTCTAGTCTTTTTGATAATAACCATTCTAACAGGTTTGAGGTAATATCTCATTGTGGTTTTGATTTGCATTTCCCTGATGGTTAAT